GAGAGAGCACTGTAGGGATGAGCTAAGGCAATAAAATGAGCTGCTTTACTCAAACGATCCACTACCACCATGATCACCGATTTTCCAGCAGACACAGGCAACCCATCAATAAAGTCCATTGACAGATCACTCCAAACTTTCTCAGGAATTGGCAATGGCTGCAACAAACCAGGATATGCTGCATTATCACTTTTACACTGCTGACACACACTACAACTCCTGATAAAGGATTGAATATCTTTCACCATACCCTTCCAATAAAACAGACCCTTAACTTTCTGATGAGTAACATCACGTCCTGAGTGGCCTCCCACCCCAGAGCAATGTAACCATTGTAAGATAGTATCTTTCAATTTCCCATCTGATGGTATCACAATCTTACTCTTTCTGCGCAAAATGCCTTGAACCCATGAGTAATGTCTCTTTGAATCCGGCTTTTGTTGTAGAGCAGTAATAATGTCCTGAAGAACAACATCATTGGCGTACCCTGCTTGGATCTCTTTCATTAAGTCACACTCCACCAATGATAAAGCCATATGCAACACTTCTGCTCCCTCAACTCTAGACAAGGCATCAGCCACCAAATTCTCCTTTCCCTGCCTATACTGAATCTCATAATCAAACTCTAGGAACTTAGGAAGCCACTGTTGTTGAATAGGAGTATTCAGTCTTTGTTCCAGTAAATACTTAAGACTCCTCTGATCAGTTTTAATGATAAAATGACCAGATAGCAAATAGTGTCTCCACTTTCTCACTGCAAAAATGACGGCTAAGAGTTCCTTTTCATAAATTGACAAGTGAAGTTGCTTTCCTTTAAGTTGACGACTGATATAAGCGAGAGGATGGCCTTCCTGCATCAACACAGCCCCAATTCCTTGCCCACATGCATCAGTCTCCACAACAAACAGCTTATCAAACATTGGTAAAGCCAACACAGGAGCATTACACAAAGCATCTTTAAGCTCCTCAAATGCTTTTTGTGCCACTACAGACCATACAAATGCATCAGTCTTGGTTAATGCGTGTAATGGACCTGCAATTGTACCAAAACTTTTAACAAACCGCCTGTAATAGCCAGCCAAGCCCAAAAACCCACGCAATTATTTAAGGTTAGCTGGTATAGGCCACTCCCGCACTGCCTATAACTTGGCTGGATCTGTAGCTATGCCTTCTGCACTAATGAAATGCCCCAAATACTCCACCTTCTGGACAGCAAATGCACACTTACTCCTTTTCGCAAACAATTGGTTTTGTTGCATTAACTCAAAAACACTCTGAACATGCTGAGCATGTTCTTGCACTGATGAGCTATAGATAAGGATGTCATCAAAAAATACTAACACAAACTTCCTCAGAAATGCTTTGAAAACAGAGTTCATGAGACTTTGAAAAGTTGCTAGAGCATTAGTAAGGCCAAAAGGCATTACTAAATACTCATAGTGACCACTGTGGGTCTTGAAAGCAGTCTTGTGTATATCCAACGGGTCCATACGCACCAGATGGTACCCAGCTCGCAAATCGATCTTAGAATACACACTTGAACCACCTAATTCATCCATTAGATCTTCTATTAGAGGAATAGGAAATCTATCCTTCACAGTCATACCATTTAACTCCCTGTAATCCACACATAATCTCCATGTTCCATCTTTTTTTTTAACCAACACCACTGGAGATGCATAAGGACTAGAGGTAACTTGAATAGTACCACCTTGAAGCATATCCTCCACAATTTTGTCTATCTCGTTCTTTTGATGGACTGCATATCTATAGGGACGTTGATTTACCGGGTTAGAGCCTTCCAATAGTTTGATCTTGTGATCATGTTGTGCTCTAAACGGAGGTAAGTCAGTAGGTTCCTCAAATATGCCCGGAAAAGCATTGACAATTGTTTCTACACCAGATTCTTCACCCTCTTCACAAGATAAAGTGTTAAGTGAACAAATTTCCTGTCTTTCATCTTCGTGAAATTCTTGCACACATAACATAGCAAGCTGAACATGGTTCTCTTGTAACTTCTGCAATTTCTGAGCTTTAACTTCCCTAACAGATCCTTCCTTCAGACCATGTAACAACACCTTTTGATTATTAATCTTGAATCCCATCTCCAATTTTTTAAACTCCCATGATATACGACCTAACGTCTCCAATCATTGCACCCCCAGTACCATATCAATTCCTTGTGATGGTATTAATAAAATATCAGATGTGAATGAAGTAGTCTGTAATTTCTAATTAAAGTCATTGATTTTGCCATCAACTCGCAGTTTTCTCCCATCAGCTACAGAAACACGAGTTAACCCCACCTTATCAATCTTACACCCCAATTTAGCTGCAACATTAGAATCAATAAAGTTGTGTGTTGAGCCAGAATCAATAAGTATGAACAAAATTCTTTTATCATGTGTTCCTTTAACACGCATTGTCCTGTAGCCCGCAATACCAGACACTGCATTAACCGAAATTTGTGGTATATTCTGTTCTTCTTCATTCAACAATTCCTCCACTGCATCCTCAAATTCATCATCAACATCCAAACAAAACAACTGAGTTTTCCTGTGAACCAAATAATGTTCTGGAGTGTACTTTTCATCAAAAAAATAACAAAGTCCCTTTGCCCTCCTGTCACTCATCTCCTACTGTGACATCCTCTTAGGTTGTTGAGTAGCCGGCTTAAAAGAAGTTTTAGTAGACTATTCTGGTCTTGACATTCCCACCTTAGTATTTTTAACAAAACCAGTCCCATTATCAGTTCTAGGAGTCCAAGAAGAGGAGGCCAGTTTAGTTGGATGAGCCTTCTCATACATCCTGCCCAAAAAGAAGCAATGCCTCACAGTTTGTGGTTGGAACATTCTCACATGCATTTGAGTGTCCACTCTCAATCCTGCCAAATATATACTCACCAAATATTCCTCAGAGAGGTTAACTCTTGTTTTAATTAACTCAAACTTCTGATGATATTCCACGATTCCACCAGTTTCCTGTAACTTTTTTAATTCTGCCATAGGATCATCACACTCATCCTCAAATCGTTCTTTCAAAAGTTTCACATACCCTTTCCAATCATATAACACTTCAAGACCAACACTAGACTGAATAAACGATTGATGCCATGTAGAAGCATGACTATCAAGGTGAATCGCAACCATTTTAACTTTCAGATACGATCAATACCAAAAAATTCTTCCACCTTAAAGAGCCATTCCTTGATCCGTGTGCCATCAAACCTGGGAAAATCAATCTTCCCCAACCGTGTAAGATTCCCATAGTTATTACGCACATCTGATCGTCCTTGATGTTGGCGATGATCGTGAAACTGATCGGAGCAACCAGATCTGTTCTCCATCGACTGCGAGGACATCGAAGCACTCCGATCTAAGTGTGACTGATCATCCACCAGCTAAGGAGCTGTAGATCGACTCATCGCACCAAACATTTCCGCCATATGCTTCATCATCGCCTTGTTTTGCTCCGCAACCAAATCCTCCAACCTCTTCATACGCGCATCCATCAGATCTTCCATCTCTGCTCCTTTTCCCTTTAGATCTTCATCATGTGACCTCGTGATAGCCATAGTTCCGAGAAACGACACAGCTCTGATACCTTTAACACAGTAAACTTCACATAATCAAATTGAATAACTCCGATCTCCGATTTTTAATACCAAAATCCAACAATCGATCTGATGTTCATAATAAACACCAAAACGATAACGAGCTAGCTCTCAAGATGAGAGAAACCTAGCTTTTACAAGAATTCTGGAAAACACAGAGATTACAGATTATTCGATAAATGGAAAAGTGAGCAACACACATCTCTTATAGAACGCAACGGCCTTCTTGCGCCAACCAATCGTCCCCTGCCACGCGTCTATCTGAGATTCCATTTTATTCAACTTGACTTCGCACGTGTTAACTTGCACGTGTGATTTCTTTATAACGTTTTGCTGTAACATTAATATATTAACAATTTTTTTAAAAAAACCTTTCTATATATCACTGCCTTCTTGTGGAGTAACGAACGGTTTCCCCATGGCTCTAATTCTTATGCAGCAGGTTCATTCGCGGCGGTTGTTGATTGGGTGATCTTTCGATTCCATCATGGAGTTCCAATAGGAACCGTTGTATTTGACGTTGAATATCCCAAAGCCTCTATCACACCAATGGAAGAGTTTATGGCTGCTCCCCATGTCCTTACCGAGATGTTAGCTTTCCCCTTAGCCTATGCATTCCTATATGCATTCCTATCTTTTTTCACCACGTTTGTTTTGTACTTCTGACTTTCTAAGTGTCTTTGTTCCTTGATTGTCATGAAAGAATTTTCTTCTTTGACAATGTTTGCCCTCCCAAAGAAGAAAAGTTGAATTATGGTTTAAGTTAAAAAAAAGATGAAATATGTTTAGATGAAACTAGATTTTAATCCGCGGTATACCACGGTCCACGAGACGATTTAATGATAAAATTTAATGATTATCTATTATATATTAAAATTTGGAAATTATACCATTTTATAAGATATTTATATTTTATAGTTTACAATTGTTATTAAGTAACGGTATACTTAATTTTTTAGTTAACCCAATTCAAAAAAAAAATATGGAATATCCGGTATAAGAATTTGAAGCAAAGTTTTCACCGGATCAGGTACTAACAATCTCAATAAATTTTTAATCTATCCGGTACAAAATATACTTTAGAAATACTAATATAGATAGTAGTCTTTGATGTGTAAATAATCCTGTTAAAATGGGTCAATATAATCAATCAGTTGTAATAACCATTGGTCCATTTATCGTTGTTGTCCTCGGTTTCTAGAAAACCATTTTAACAATGATGTCGATTACTCAGCTTAAGGAAGGAAAAAAAAAAAAAAAAAATTAGCTACACAGTTTAAGTCTCAACACCAAACCCAAACTTTAAGGCCCAAACAAAGGCCCAAAGAAAAGAGTTAGGGTTCTTCTTTCGTCTTTCATATATAAAATGTAATTTTCATTCGTCTGAGGAATTCGATCCAAAGACATTTAGGTATCAATATCATCTCTTCTTATTCAATTCTCTTGATTTTCTCCGAAATTGTCTCTTGTAATGGTGGATTTGATTTTGTAACGAATAGAAAGAAAAAAAAAAACATCAGAAAGATGACAACTTCACAAGTAGAAACTGGTTTCTTCGTTGAATTAAACAAAGGACATGTAATCATCACTAGACGCGATTTAGCTTCTGTTCATCTTCAATCACATAAAGGAGTATGTTTCTCTTTTGCATCTGACTTTGTTTTTTTTTTGATCAATTTCAATTTCAATCCGAGTTTAGGGTTTTAGGGTTCTTAAAGTCTTGAACTTTTTTGATATTTGTGTTGCAGCATTGCTATGATTCATGTTTTAGGGCTTTAATGGAAGTAACCCATGAATTGATTTTCTTAAAGCTTTGATTTTTTTTTTCTGCAGTGGCGTTTAGCTTGAGACCACAAGAATCAAGCATCTCCGACTTCTCGAATTGACGTATCTTTTAGCTATATCACAACATGAATTTTCAGACAGAGGTTCCTGATGATGGTTCTAGACAAGCTTCTTCTTCGCCTTACTCTGGAAAAGCAAAGATTGTTCCTGAATGTGGTCTTGTTGGTGACATGTATGATCCTTTTGTAGACAGCTTTGAACCAGCATCTGTGAAATTAGATTGTGTTCAGGAGCGTGAACCAGATAACGAAGTCTTGTGCATTGTACCAAAGGCGAGCATTTCCTCGAATAGACCGCTTAGTATGGAAGAAAACAACCAAGGTGTTGATAAGCAAGCTCTAAGTGAGTCAGACGTGACTGCTCGGGTCAGTTTTTCCTCCAACAAACCAGCTGATGTTGAAGAAAACACCGCTGGAATTGAGATTGGAGTAGTTGTTTCTGGAGAGAATGATGAGTTTGGTGAGAATGTGGACAACCGAAGAGAATGTAACAGCCATGAGACTTTGACTCCAAACTCTGATAACGAGAATCCGAAGGTAGAGAACAATGTACATGAAGGCGATAACACGCAGAAAAAGTCTCGAGAGAAATCAAAAGAGAGAGATTCGTCAAGGTCCATGAAGCTTTTCAAAGTTGTGCTTACAAAATTCGTCAAGGATCTTCTAAAACCATCGTGGAGACAAGGGAATATGAGCAAAGAGGCGTTTAAGACTATTGTGAAGAGAGTGGTGGATAAAGTGTCAAACTCAATGGAGGGTCATCGTATACCCAAATCAAGAGCTAAGATCGATAGGTACATTGATTCTTCACAGCAGAAGCTGACCAAACTGGTCATGGTAAGAAATAGAATCCCCTCAAAATCCATCATTTACCGAACCAGACTCGTCATGGTTCTTTACTTGTTTTGGCAGGGTTATGTAGACAAGTATGTCAAAGCATAGAAGATAAGAGAATCAAAGGAAATTTCCCATAACACAGCTTTTTGCAGTTGGAGAAGGTTAGACCTTTGTCTTGTCTGCAGACGATGTTTAGTCAGAACTGTTCTTCTTCCGGTTGTGAGTTTTACAATGAGGAATTTACCTCTACCTTCATAACATGTAATTGAAGAATCCATCATTTTAAAAAAAGTAGTTGAATCGCTTGTAGCCACATCACATATGACTGCATTTCAGAAAACCTTTATTTGATAGATTCATGTACAAGTACAACCACATTCGATTTAAAATATTTTGTCTAATTTTGCATGATCCAATAACGATCTTAGACCTCTACATAATCTTAGAACCTCTAAACATCATGATTAGATATGTACAACATATCTAGCCACAGTATACTTAAGATAATGAAAGAGAGAATTTAGAGATCAAAAGTTGGAATTTCAGAAGACCAACCATGTGAGGCTTGATACAACATCCTTGGCAACAAGTGTCTGTAAGGATCACTCTCTCTTTTTACTTTTAAATAGGCAACGCATTGTTCGACCTCAGACTTTACTTGCAAGTAAAGCTCTTGTGCCTTCTCTTTGTCTTTCAGCTCTTTCTCCTTACCTGCCATGAAAAAGAAAACCCGCCATTATTGTAAGTATTGAGGTCAGTGATTTGATGTAGAGAGCATACATTTAGATTATATACATACCTGCTGTTTCTATTGGTTTGCCAAAGTAATAGTAGAACCGCCCTGGAATCTTAGGTACAACTCCTGGGATATAGATATCTTGGTTTCCCAATTCGCTCTCGTCGCCTTCCCTGGCATTCAAAATCAATGTTCAAATGAGTATTACTTGGAAGTATTGAGAACAATCTATAAATATTGTGAGAAATAGTGTGTAATGAAACACCTTATGTTGCCAGCTTCCTTTGTTGCCCATTCCACTAAATCCTTCAAGATAGGGATTTTCCTTTGATCATTGGAATCCAGGACAATCTGAGAATCATTCAATGTTACTCAAAACCGAGGTTCGGGTTGACATAGAGTAAAGCCTATGTAGAGTTATCATCATTTTGAATACAGACACACTGTTTCTGCCTCTTACTAGTACTCTAAAGCAAATAGAGTAGAATGAGTAGATGCTGAGAATGTCGAGTAATGTAGAAATTTGAATGGGCATATAATGCAATCGAGTTCTTGGTAACTGATTTGCTAACGTGTAAACATGAAGTAAGCGGAATAGAGTAGAGAAAGCTTACTTCGCAGACGTTGTCTACTCCAACAACACCAAAAGGAACGATTTTCGCTCCAAATTTAGATGCAACTCTCACAAACTCGGATTGTTCTGGCCAAAACAGCTGGTATTCTTCACCCTGCAAAGTCACTCTGTACATTTAAGCCTCTAAAATAAAATTTTCCAAGAATGCAGAAACCGTGAAAAGTTCACAAACTATACATCACCTTTCTATGCAATGCTTCACGGACACCTCCAGGATACAAAAGCACATGAGCCTTTTCACGCAATAGTTTGTAGATACTGAAATTAGAGACCGGAACTCCACCCATTATCTTATATTTGTCAAACATCTTTGTGTCGACTATTGAGTCTTTGAGATTCTTAAAAAACATTGGATGTGCCAAACCCCGCAGGTGAATGTTCCTCTCTTTTAGGATTTGAGATACCATTGGAACCAGGTCAAGTCCCAATAGCATGTGATAGCCAACGTACAGAACAGGTCCCTCTAAAGGTAATCCTTCGAGGCTCCGTACAATTGTGCCGTCTTCTAGAGTTGACAGCATTACAGGGGAAGTACCATCCACTAGCAATCTGCACTGCAGAATTTATCATTCGGTATCCACTAACTTTTACTTGATAGTCTGATTTATTTTGCTAAGCATACAGAAAAACTAAAATATGTCTCAGAGCAATTAGTGAGGCATTTTACCGGTCATTGTCTATTTGTTGTTTTAACTCATATGTGGTAGGCATAAGGTAATCCGAAATGTGATCATGAGCCTTCCCACGGCGATAAAAACAAGTACACTTGATGATATTAGCCAGATCTACGCCGTCCTCCTAACGAGAGATGTAAAAGAGATAGTTGAAGTGTAGTTTATAAATGATCCAATATTCTAACATGAGGAAACTAGTATCAATACTTGACCCTAAGTATCATATTTCTTGTTTATTGAATGAAGAGAGATCACTAACCAAAAGGGGAAACTGTCCATTGTCATCAAGCTTACGGACTATACATTTTGGCAACGTGCGCGAGTATCTGTCAATGTCTTCCTCGTTCAGTAGCCATTGATTGCGTCCACTGCAATAGTCAACAACCAGATATTCATGAACACTTATGCTCCAAGCTATAATACCTCTTTACAAGTAAACGATATTCAGAATTTCTGAAACAGGAAAACTTATTGGACCTCAGAAGTATGAGTGTTCCCGCTCTGACTGAATATATGTGAGAATTCACAGAAGCAATAGCAGACTTTAGCATTTCCAGCTTCCAAAGCAGTGTGTCCTTAGGAAACATCCTACTCAGAGTCTGCAAATACATTGTGATCACAATACTAGAACTGGAATTGAAAATGTGTAAACGATAAACGGAAAAACGCATAGATCATGAGTTTCTAAGAAGGAATACTTACAGGAAGATTAGCTGAAACAGCAAGGAGGTCTCTTAGCATCCCTCCACCTCCTCCGCCCATTCGCTGGCTAGAAAATTCATTTGACAAAGCGTCTAACATTCCAGTCAGCGGATCGCCTACCGTGACAAAGAAACACGTGTTTGAATAAGTTCTTGAACAAGTTGCTAAAACTGAACATAACGTTTTAAGATCCAACTTGAAACTCAATTAGTTGGTTAACTGATGATTCAAGATAGAATATGAGAAGAGAATAAAGGTGTACCTTGCTTAACACCGAAGATATCTTCCAATAGTGTTGGAATACCATCTGGTAAAACATTCAGCATTCCGGATAGAGGTTGCGATATGAAGTTGTTGACATGTGTGGCTGCAACAAACAGTATCTATGATGAGAAAAGATTTTTGACATTCACCGACTAAGAATCCTATAGACCGAGAGATTTGTACCTGGATTAACCAAGATCAGAGAAAGATCAATATCAGGATTCCTGGCAGCAACATCTAAAGCAAGACATGCTCCAATAGATTCTCCAACTAAATATATTGGTCTATTTGGGAAACGATAGTGCTCCGACTTAACAGTCTTCTCAATAAGCTTCACCAACTCTGAAAACAGAACACAAACGAAAAGGCTTTAACTCGCATTAACTATCTTCTCGGTAGTGCTTCGAAGGGGCGACGAAAAGGTACCTTTAACAGGAGTACGATCGCTGACTGGAATGTGAAGGCACCATATATCAAAAATCCTATACAAAGACAAAATTCTTTACAAATAAAGATCCCTTATACTTCAAAACTACCTAAAAGCAAAGTTACAAAAACAGAGAAACCATATTCTTGAAGATACAGGGAATGTTGCAAAAAATGGAAAAGCTAATGCAAACGTTTAAGGAAATGAATAAACCATATAGAAAAAGAAAAAAAAAAGTAAAATAACTTACGCCCCAAGTTTCTTGTGATGGCGAATGAGCCCTAGTCCAGTACCATCGATCCCTGCAAGTTTTAGTTTTCTCAGTTTTGTTAAAACATTTCAAAGTTCCACGGAAATGAAATAAAAGTTCAAATCCGTAGAAACTATCCCAACTCAACTAAAGTGAATTATCGGTATCATGTCTAGGTCAATTCCGACTAATCCGAAGGTGACCATGCTCTTTGCATGTTACCACAAACTCACCCTAACTAAACTCAACCAACCGGGAACCTCTGCAAGTTTACGTCTTGAAACCCGGATCCTCAACCACCACAAGCGAGTTGAGATCCATTCATATATATTACGATAGAAAGGCGAATGAAGATTTATAGGACGAACCAGGTAAAAAGAGGAGGAGAGGAGAGCCTCGAGCTTGAGCGCCACACTCCAACTGAGAGAACCACCGAGGTGGACCTCCTCCATCTCCCACGAAATCTCTCGCTTCCTCCAAAAAATCCGACAAGCTCTTCCTCAAATCAGGAAGCGCCGCCTCCACTTTCGAATACGGGTTCTCGACCACATTCGCCACCGTGGCTCCGTTTTCATCATTATTCTTCCGTCTCCGTCCAACACCCCTAGAAGGATGAGGAGTAGTAGATGTTACCGATTTGACCGAAGTGAGTCGATGCTTCGCGGCTGAGGTCCGTTGTCGTAGATTTGATGAAGATGAGAAGGCATAGAGACCGAAGGTTGAGCGAAGTACTGTTGTAGTCTCCATTTGTGAAAAGCTCTGAAGAGAGAGTTTTGGCCGTTTGTATTTGCTTATAGTCAGAATTTGACAAACGATTCCGAACAAAGAGCCAAGATAGTGCGCGGAAATAAACACTTTAGTATTTCCATTTTGAAAAGAAACAATCAAAAGGAAAAAATAAATACTATTGGACATGTCACATGTGTAATGTCATGTGGTATTAAGAGGTGATATAATTGGATATAAAAATTCACTGGACCTCAATGATCAAGAAATGCTGTGTATCATTGTGGACCTATGTTTGTCACCCCACATTGAAATCATGCATGAAAATTAGAAAGAGGGTCGTTTGGAAATGCCAAAAAATTATATAATTATCAGGTAGTTTTGCAAATAAAGAAATGATAATTTGGCTAGTCAAATATTCTTGTATGGCTAGTCAATGTTCTGAATTGATTAGTCCAGGTTCTAAACTGATCGATTGATTAGACTTATAAGTAGCCAACCTAAAAATTTAACATAGTTGAACATCATAAAATGTGTCATATGTGGTAATCTCAAACTTTTTTTTTTACTTCCATCTCAAACTTTCTAATTGAAATAAATACCATCCTTACAAATGTGCAACCGACGTGGGACATTATAATCTATCAGAGCTAGCCGACATCAATGTAAGCCTGATTCGATCGAATTAAATATTTTAACATAAAGTTGTTAAACGTACTTTTAACAATAATTGGGTATCGGTTCACGTTCAGTTCGGGTATTTCGGTACTAGATGTTTTGGAATGATTAGGATATTACAAAAATTATGTTCGTATTCGGTTCGATCTTTTTTGGGTTCAGGTATATATACCCGATATTTTGTTGTTACGGTTCTGTATAAGTACTTTCAACCGATTAAAACCAAAATAATTCGAAATATAAGTTGGAAAACTAAATTAAAATTACATGAAATTATAATAATCATACCAAAATAAAGAAACCATAAGTT